TAGTTTGAAAATATCCTTGACTAGGCTTGCCATCTTTTCGATAAGTCATATCGATCTAACTACATATCGATGGCTGAGTGGAAGATCGACCTATCTCGGCAGCCAGTTCGAAAACGCTCTATCTCAAAAAACTTTTCAAGAACGCCTTATTTCAGAACTCATTTCAAAAATGCCATATCTCAGCTGTCGATTCAAAAACGCCCTATATCAGCATATTTTCAATACATTTTGAAGTGAGATAGGGCGTTTTTGAATCGACAGCTGAGATATGGCATTTTTGAAATGAGTTCTGAAATAAGGCGTTCTTGAAAAGTTTTTTGAGATAGAGCGTTTTCGAACTGGCTGCCGAGATAGGTCGGTCTTCCACTCAGCCATCGATATGTATGTATATATATTACATGAACAGGCATTTTTTGTGAGGGATCATTAGATTTGCACCGTTCTTTCGAATTTCAAATATGATAGGTGGCCTGTTGTTGTGCGATAAGGTATACCGTATTACGAGACTATCAGTACGTTGACGACTGTTAGAATCCGAAATATGCAGTTTTACGTGACGAGTTGCTCGTTCACGATTGTTTCGATTCGAGCTCGAATCTTTCGATTGATATATGTAACTAAAAATAATAAATATTAACAAGTAAAAAAGTCTGAGTTCGGGCTGAGCCGAAGATTAAATACCCAGCGCTAGTATTCAATATAGTTTTTTCAGCTTTCCGAAAACTACCGCTACGGTAAGCCCACCCCTGGTTTTAACCATACTTCAAACATCTTCGATAGAATGTTCAGTTAGACATAATGAGATAAACTTATATAGTTTAATATGGGCGGTATCACGCCCGTCTTCCACAATTCTATAATAAGTTACTTCTTTTCAAGGGATGGTTTTAGAACCAATTTTGAGCAAATTAGCGTGCTTAAATTTCGAAATATCGACGTTTCAATTTTAGTCCGTTTATGTGGCAAGTGCAATAATTATACCAACTTGTGTACAAGTTGATCGAACGATTACCGAATTACACATATAATTATCTACTGAGGGAAACTATGATCATTGATGATAGCTTAACTTGGTATATTTTAATAAGTAAATAAAAAATTTGATACCGTGTTTAGGAAAGTAAAGGTTTTATTATTTTTCACCGAAGAGTATCAAGGTAAGAAAGAAAGTTTAAGTTAATCTCAAGTGAAATATTAACAAAGATAAATAAGCTACAGGAACTCTGGATTCTAGAACTCCTACTGATTGTTTATAGTACTGCAAAGAGCACTTTCGCTAAAGAAACTGAACTGCCTTTGATTAATTTATCCTCTTTTATTGTGGATACTTTAATTCTGACTACATACATACATCATAATTTGTCGTTGTATAAATTGTTGCTGTAGCATTTGGCTTGCTATGCGTTATCTCTTATGACATCGTATTGTTGTTGCTACAAATAGCTTGGTGCTGGGTTGAATTCGGAGTGATAACAATAATTCGAGTTCAAGTTAGTGTCACATTATTAACTGTGAGCATAATAATTAATGTTGAACTATTAAAATACTGGGTTGACGATATGTGATGCTAGCAAAGTTGTTGGTGTTTTTGTAGGTTGTGATGTGGACCATTGTGTAAATATATAATCATAAAGGTATTTTTTGCTAAGTTATTAATGCAAACATCAATTTTAAATAAATTAGCTTCAGTATGTATTGATTTATCGGAGATTTCGTATATTTCCAAATTACCGTTTTATGGGATGTGGGCGTGGTGATTGTCCGATTCTAAAAATGTTCAGTGGTTTGGTACATATGTTGAACCAACGCCAACCACTGTGCCAAGATTGTTAGAAATTGGTGGAGCGGTTACAAAGATATACGCATATACATATTCATAAGTGGTCGTGGCTGCGCCCATTTTTCCAAAAATTTGTAATATTCTAATTTTCCGTCTAAAAATTATATATAATTATAAGTATCAATTTTGAGTGAAGAAGCTTCAGTAGTTACTAAAATATCGAACTCTGCAATGAATATTATGCAACGCAAGCTCGATATAATAAACAAATGGTCGCATGATAACGGGTTAGTAATAAATGCGACTAAAACTAAAATAATGCACTTCAGACCACCCCATATTCGCAGTTCTGTACTTAATATTGTTTTCCATAATTATGAGTGTTTGCATAAAAACATGACGCCTTGCGATTGTAAAACCAAAATAGACACCGTACATATGTTTAAATATCTTGGCGTTATCCTTGACGAACACCTTAAATGGAACCTGCACATCTCTCATCTACAAAAAAAGCTCCGATCGTCGGCTTATTTCCTAAAGCATCTGACCTTCTGCGCAAATTACAGTGTTTTATATCATGCATATTTATCTTTGTCCGAATCGTATTTAAGGCATGGTATCACTGCATGGGGCTCATCAGTACATTGTAGAAAACTACAACAAAGTCAAAATTATAATTTGAAAATACTAGCAAAGAAAAGAAATATATATTCCCAACTTACAAACCTGAACAAAGAATTAGATTTATTAGATGTGAAGTCGATTTATAAGTTATCGATTCTAAATGAATTCTATGACGAAAACGCATTGAAAATACCAATTTCCCACAACCATGGAACACGAAGGCGCCTTGAAAACAGGCTTTCAGTTCCAAAATTCACGAACAATTATTCCAAAAATTCACTTTCGGTAGTAATTCCATCTCTGTTTAATGCGCTTCCATTACATTTAACAAATTTACCAAACACGTTCAAACGAAAAACTTTAATTAAAAGACATTTTAAGAGCTTATTGTGATAAAGTCAAATTCTGAAAACAAAGGTTACCACAAAAGCTACCACAATATTAAACAAATTTTTATCAAACTGGCATTAAAATCTGTACTGAATAAACTTCTGCGTATCATAATTTATTTATGTAACTACTTTTTATTTAAAACCTGTTTTGATAAGTCATTTAAAGCTATTGAAAGCATAACATCCATAATAATAAGCAAAACATTTGCAACTTGCTATCACAACACCTAGGTATAAGTTAATCTATTGTTATAAGAACATACGGTATAAACCTATAAACCTGCAGACAAGCACTAAAGCTTCGCGGGTTAGACTTAAGTAAACTTTGTAAACTGAACTCATGAACTGAATAAAAAATCAATCAATCAATCAATCAACAATCAAGTTTTCGTATTTCTGAAAACTACCGTTATATGGGAGGTAGGCGTGGTTATTGTCAGATTTTGCCCATTTTCAATACCATCCGTCCTACGCTGAAAATAAGTGCACGTACCAAGATATCTTAATGTTTACTCGAGTTATCGTGTGTACAGACGGACAGACGGACGGACAGACAATCACCACTTACTCGATTTCTAAAGTAACTAAACTAAAACTTAGATACTCTTTTATGCAAATTCTTAGCCTTTCGAAGTTTTTGCGCAGATGAAAAAAGTAATTTAACCGTAAGGAAGTAGCGAAGTCTTTAAATAGTGGTACATTTCCACAGTTTATGAAAATATGTAATTTACTTTTTTTTTTTCAATAACACATTCAAACAAAGCAAATGAGATGGGATGTTACATTCATAATTTTGCTTAGAATAAAAGTGTACTGAAAAGTACCGATTTTTATAGCATGAAAAAGCCTAAAGTACGGATTTTGCGCAAAAAAAAATCTACATATGCAAAAATTTCCTTTGTGCTGTTTGTGAAATGTTTGCACATGCACATCTCAAATGCCATGTAATAAAACTTTCATAAGATATAATTTGATGGCACTTCAAAGTATGCTCGGCCTAGTCTGATGCATCCTCCGGAGTCTTTTGCCGACTTTGCATGACTAACAATCATGCAGAGGTGGTAAGCGAACTTTACCATCGGCCACATTGGCCAATAATAAATATTAAAAGTTTTTAATAACAATATACATATCACCGTTTAAAGAACAAAACTGCGTATCAACAAGATGCAATCCCGTGTATGTGAGGTTGCATAAATTGTTTTCTAGAGAATAAAAACTCTCATATTTCAAAATGGTTCTCTATTTAAAGCAATCGCATATCTGGCTAGTATATATCAGGACGAATGGTTAAGGATTGAGCCAAGAGCTTGTGTAAGCAAATCCAACTTTTGGCAGCAAATGTCAGTTACGCGGTTTTGCAGAATGACGATACGCGGTTTTGTATTTTAAAAACTTCAGCCAAGAAAGGCGCCTAAACCTAGTAAACGGCGGAGAAAGACGAGTTAAGATATTTAATTGCGAAGAAGAGCGTATAAACTTATTTTCGCGGTCGAACATGTTTGCGGGTGTAACAGTATGCAAATTCCCCAAAGGGTGTTTAGGGAATGATGCTAAAGTGACAGTCCTTAGCCAAGTATAAATCTATGTTTACGCGTCCTTCTTCGCCGATAGCAAAATACATATGCCTTTTTTAACATAACTTACAAATATGTTAGCTTCCCATTATTTAACATTATTTAAATCAGGTCCTTTTATTTAATATTCATATCAAATCAGTAGTGTTCATGAACTACCCACACGTCAAAAAATACTGTCCCACCCGTCACAAGCTAAAGTATTTTGATATACATAGTTTGTCTAAAATTGGGAAACGAATCCATCCACATAGGGAGGTGGGTATCGTCATTGTCTCACCCGTCACTCTTGGGAAAATGAAAACTTTCTGTGTAAATTATATAAATAAGTTTTCTACTTTATTAGTTTTGTGTTAAACTGATGTCTTAATTCAGATTTTAATAGTTTGAAACTTGTCAGATTAAGGGTTAAAGAGAAACTATTTAAAGTTTGTCCCAACCGTCACGCTGGAATGTCACATATAAACATATATGTTTGAATAACGAGATGTAACAATAACTGAACAGCAAATAAAAAACACCCAACCACGGAACTGTATTTAGCTAAAATATCCCTTAATGAGACGCAAATCTATCGCGAAACCCCCAAATTATGGACGAAATCCCACGAGTTGGCAACACTGCTGTCTATTGAATCCTCTTTGATATCTTTAGTTTCACTCCACCCTTAATGATAGGTGAAACGCCATTACTAAACTCGAATTCCATCTGCTTGTATTCGTATTTGTGTGGATTCGGGAAATGCTCTGGATCATAGTGCAGCCCAAGAAGTGAAATCAAGATTGCCGTACCTTTTTTGATTGTGTAATCACTGTTGGGAATTTCGAAGTCCTGTGTACATTCTCGATTTAGAAACGGCAAGGCTGGGTATTTACGTAGGGTTTCTGGAGAAATAATACAAACCTATGTATATTAGGAATGATCCCTTAAACTAATTTGTCGAAGTCACGTAACTTTGGCCAAATTATCAAAATTTCTTTGTATAAGCAAAATTTCCTTACAATGCCTACTCACCCTTGGTGCAGAGTTCTACGAACTTCATGTCCTGTATGGCCTCATAAGTGAGTGGGTCACTTGGTGTTAGACTATGTCTCGTCAGAACAGAGTCAACTTCTGCCACAGCTTCTGTTAACAGCTCTGGGTACATAGTGTATGGGACGCCGTAAGTGATGTGCTCTCACTACCCGCAATATAGAAACTTAAGCACTGGTCGCCTATTATTTCGATGGACATGGACTTGGTATCTTCCGATGTATTCTCCAAACTGAAATTCTCATCATCAGTAATTTTATTGCAATTCCGCAATTGCAAGAGTAGCTGAAGAAAGTCACGACGCACAACATTTTTTTGCTCGCGTAAATTCACAACGCGCTTGATAATTTCGCGTATTTCCACGACTCCGTTGGATATGTAGCCGCAATTCTCCATGAAGGTTGATACTCTGCATTGAGTAATACGGTATTTAAATAAGGTTAATTTACAGAAAATTTTAGAGGCGATTAATTGGATCAAAAGTTGGCTGCTGACCAACATCAGTGAAAGCCATTATTCGAAAAGTCGTTTACAACAAACAATTGTTGCTTTCAACAAAAAGTTGCCTGTAAAATCGCCTCATGTAAACACCGTACAATAAGAAAGCGTTAGTAACATTGGCCGCTATAGCTGAATGGTTAGAGGTGCATACTACCCCAGTCCGTAGGTCCTGGGTCGCCGCTCAGAAGGAAATTTCAAACTTCCGAGTGTATTTCTGTCATGAATAAGCTTCTCTTGCAAATCTAGAGGTTCCTGAATTTTTGTAGCAACACCTAGAAGCACACCACGCGGCCGGACACATTGGGGTATTCTCGATCCGTTTCATACTGTCTAGCATGGTGCACATGTAGCATGATTGGATAATTTTGTTGTTTTGTGAAGACATAAAACAACAACAAAATTATCTAATCATGCTATTTATGCATCATGCTAGACAGTATTCAACGGATCGAGAATACCTCTCTAGAAGAAGTGTAAGGACCAAAATACTACTACTACTACTACGACTATTAATTTCGCAATTTATTGAGATTTCACTCCTCACTAGCTACTTACGGCGGGCAAACAAAAAACGCCACCGTTTTTATCTTGTCCAGCCAAGCCGACGGCGAAAGCACTTGTTTAATCACTTTGCGGTATTCGTTTGTGGGATTTTGGAAGCTATCAACGTCCATTCCGAAGAATACTGAACCAACAATATCAACCGCATAGCTGAAAGTTCGTAGTATTGTATGTTAAGGTAATAAAAGAGCTACAAATTTTAGGGATATATCGTCATAGTTAAACTTACGTAATCATCACGTCCTTTATCTCGACCTCCACTACGCTTTTGCCATCCAATTGTCTATCTAAGTGATTTAATAGTTTGGCTCCGACATCGTTAACCGTCGGCAGCATTGCCTTCAGCTTGCCGCTCGAGAAAAGTGGTGTCAGTTTGTTACGCAAATTCTTCCAACTTGTATCGCGCATCGAGAAAAGATCTTCGCATATGGTTGAATCAATGCCACGATCGTGGAAGCTCACGAAATTTTGCATTAGAATTTGCCGCGCTAGGTCCAGATCGCATATCAGCAGGGTTGGTTTGAAGAACAGATAAATTCCAACGAAACGCTCTCTGTAGCCTTTGTAAAGATCGTGAATCGCGGAACCGACATCCTTTTTACCGAGTATGGTGTCCTTTATCGACCCGAAGGGTATAACCGGCTTATCGCTTGGTATACCTTGACGCTCCCAGTAGTTATATTGTTTCCGAATTAGCAGAGTTATGGCTATGATGGCCACAGATATCAGGATAAACCACATGCTAGCAAAAATGTATTCACTAAACTATTTGCAAACACAAAACCTTTAGCAGGACTCAGCTGTTCTTTTAAAACTGCAGCTGCAATGAACAGCGGTCATATGAGACTGATAGTTCAAATTGCAAGCCTTTATTTATGTTCATATAGCTGGAGAATCGTTCACACTACTTCCTAAAGTAAATGCCACCAACAACTTCGTCAAATATAATCAATCCAGTATTTTAAATACTTTAACATTAACAATTAAACTGCTTTACAAATTTGAGAAAATGTTCTGACCTATAGCAATTGCCAACTACGTCCAAAGAAATTCTCAATTCTAATTGGGATCGGCTAGGGTTTATTTTCTTCCTAAAGGATCATAGTTTGATGTCCAATAAAGAAAGAAAGTAAAAATATTTTTAAGACGTGATTTAGAGAAAACTAATTTTTTTGTGAAATTCTTTTAAAAACGTTGCACACTTCTCGAAAAATTCAAAAATTGCTCCGAAATCGATAGTTCGATTGAAAAGTATTGCAAACACTGTTAATGGGATGTTTAATTACCTTTAATATCGTAAAAAGGCCTTCGAAATTGGATAACAAACTCCGGAGATAATGGCCGTTTAGTGGAATCATTTTTTTTTAACTCGAAAATGGGAATTTGGCTGTATCTCGAAAACAATTCTACTTTCTTAATATCAGATTTCATATTCGGATTCAACGACAAATTTTACATTGGGGATGACAGTCAAATTCCACATATCAAAATCACTGTAAACTAGTGTTATTAATTACAATTAATTGCGCAGATAATAAAAGGCACAATTGAAATTGTGACAGCTAGTTAGACGTAGGTAATGGCACTTGACGACGCTAGGGATGTCTCGAATATCATATTTTTCGCATTCGCATTCGCGAATGTTAGGAATAACATTAAAAAGGCTATAATCAACTTAATTCGTCGTTTTTATTACTTAAAAATTTTGTAAATTATTAGAACATTGAACGAGTGCTTTTCTTATACAGTGTTTTAATCTAGTCGTCAAAGTTCAAAAGGAGCATATTATATATTTTTTTTTTAAGTGATTTTGCTGCAATTTCTCCCATGAGGTGATTTTTTAGAGGCTCTTATATAAGGCCGGCTGCACTGAACAATTGCTCACTTGGAACGCTGGCGGGTGAAACGCTCAAATATTTGCGGGCCAGATCTGTCAATTTGTCGTATTTCAGTTCAGTTTTCCATAAATTTAGAGGATTTTCACCGATATGAGCTCGGTCTTCTTTAAGATAGGCCTTCAATTGAGCTTTAATTTCACATTTTTTAATATCTCCAGGTTCTACTTTCGAGCCTTCGCTTTCGCTGGAGGAATCTATAATTCTTTCTAGGTTGCTTAGAAGACTTTTAGCAGTACTTGTTGAAGGCCCATCAATGATACTTGATATACTACTTAACCGTTTAGCACGTGAAGCTAAAGGCCGGTTATTGTCCGCACCCTGGTTAGACAGACTTATAGCCTATTTCCACCAGAGTCTCAACTGCAGTTAAGAGCTCAGATATGTTCCAAGAATTTCGACATGGCGTGAGCGGTAAGATTTATTTCTTAGTGTTTGCTTGTTTCCTTCGTTTGCTCGCACTTAGTAGGAGGAATTACCCACTTCGAGTTGTAATGTCCTTGTTCCAATCGGTATATACTGCAGTTAAGACTTGGTGGAAATAAACTATTAGAGCCATTTCAGCAATATTAGAGTGGATTCTCTGCCCATGTACACATTCGCATTCGCAAAACATTCGTATCATTTGATGCGAATACGAATGTCGAACTCGAATTTGTAAAATGATGCGAATCATTCGCATGTCGAATTCGAATGCAAATATTCGCAACATCCGTGGTTGACACAGTGGCACACGCACACCATGAAGTGTCAACACACTGTGTTCGATCATGAACTCCATAACTCGTCGCCCGAATTTGCCAATTCCTTGGCGGCGAGAACCAGGGTAGCCAACTCATTTTTGAGAATTTCCCGATTTCGACAATGAAATTCGCCGATTTTGGCCAAAATTCCAAATATATCTATTATTATTATAATTTATCTATTTATTCATAAACCAAATCAAACTTTTATTAAGTTTGTTAACAAAGAAGGAATAAAAAATTAATCGTCGGTGACACTGCAAAACGTTCTATGCCGCTTACTACTTCTGGTAATTAATTGATTTGTTATCTGTATCTGATCGCTTCAGGAAGTCGTTCATCTTCATCAGCCAAAGGTAAACAGTATTGTTATTCGTTTATTAGGGTGTAAAGATTTGCAGATGCATTCCGGTACAAGTAAGAGACCGTCGTAAGTGTCAAGGATACTAACAGGCATAGACCGTTTTGCAGTATCACCGATGATATAATATTTACATACATACTGTGGTGAAAAAAACATTCAGCCGCACCAAATTTTGACAACTTTTCACATTTTTTTTTGTTTTTTTTTTGTGATTCAATTTGAGTTATTTTAATAAAAATATAAGTTTGTTCCGCAAGCTACTTGTAGAAAAACTCGAGCAAATTTCACACTGTCAGCGTATATCAAATAAACTCTAAAACTTACTTGTGGAACGCGTATGTGTAACTCGAAGTGACTTGAGTAGCACACTTTATAGTTCATTCTTTAACAAGAACCTTTTAAGTCCAAGTTTCAAAGTGTGAAATATTAAGAAAAAAATCAAAAAACTTTCGTAAAAATTTCGAGCTTTTTAATTCGATTTTCTAGAAAAATTTTGAGTACACTGTTTTGTAACCCACTCAATTCTAGTATAAAAAGGCAAGTTTCAAGTACATAAAAATTGTTGTTTTAGAATTTTTTGTGCCGAACGTGTTGCGGTTTTCTTCCATATAAAACAGATTGTGTTTATTCGTTATACGAAGGCAAATGCTACAAGGAAAATTCTAAAAAATTAACGATAATTTTTAGCCATTTGAAACTTTATTATACTAGAATTGAAGGAACTACATAGCTGCATACGGCTCATTCAACGGTGACGGGTGAGACATTTCAACTTAAATTTTTTTAAATCATTATGAAATTATTGAAGCAAAAAAGAAATAATTTCATCCTCCGCTTCCCCATGTAAACTGAAATTCCCCACAAAAAACGGTCCATTCCCCGATTCCCCACGCAAACTGTAATTCCCCACAAATCGGGGAATTGCCCACCAGTTGGCTTCCCTGGCGAGAACACTCCATACAGCACAGTGTGGTATGAGTGCTAAAAGCACCTATCGTTTAATTGAAAATTGTGCCGGTGCGTGTGTCACATTGATGAGTGTTAGCACAGCACTGGGTTGGGTTACACATCACTACAGCTAGTTGAACTCGAACTTTTGTTATCGCCAGACAACGGACCGTTATCGCCAGACAACGGACCACGATTTAGTTCCTTACATGGTTAACGAATCGGGGTGCCGTAGAAAAGTCATCAGGGATGCGTGAAATAATTCAACAGATAGATATGTATGTACCAGGGTTGTTGCGAATATTCGCATTCGGATGCAATGCGGATCTTTTGCGAATGCGAATATTGAAGGGACAGGAAATTACAGTTATTTTTTTACGAGTCACACTTGGCCATTTTTTTTCCGACTAAAAGTCCTTTCCGGACAATAATCAAACCGCTAATCCAAATTAAACAAATTTGGTATCAAATGAAAAAGCTTTAAAACTGAAATGTCTAAACGAGCAAAGCCACCTATTGAAAAATATTTAAATAAAAAATTTTAATTAATTACCATAGAACAAACCTTGGGTCAGGTATATGAATCTCTTTAGTATTAAATGATATAAAAAAATATAAATCGAGGTGGTAACCCTCGTTCATTATTTCTGTTTAAAAGCTATTTCAGTCCTCTTTCACGTGATATTAAATTTGGTTAATTTTGATAAGCTGTTTGCTTATTATCCTGAAAAAAACTTTTATTTCGGAATAAAAAATATTAGGCCAAGTTTAACTGGTAAAAAATAGCTTTTATTTTCGGTCCCTGGAATGAATTAATGAAAATGAATTACAAAAACTAAAATCGAAAAACGCTTTTGACGTAGCAGGCTCTCCAAATTCACAAACAACCAAAAGAATGAGAATGAAGAATTCTTTGGAAAACAACGGTGTTTAAACAACGATCTTGCCATGATACTAGATTATGAAGATGAAAGTCAGGAGGATACATCCGACATTTGCAGCCCGATGCAATTCTCAAAGAGAATTATTGCATCCGCAATAAGAAAAAAAAACAATAAATATAACTGAAAGTCCTCTCGACTCGTGCAGCGTCAATCGAAAAGAATTTACAATTTTGTCAAGTTTCAAGTTTTTCAAGTTTGTCTCCTCGAGCGAGCAGTTATTTAGTGGCCCTGATTTACGACCATTTAAAAACTTTTTATTGGATACAATGCTCCAATTTTTAAATTCAAGTACTAAAAAAAACATTATTAAAAATTACTAACCTTTACATTTTTTATTTAACTAAATCACCTAATTTACTCACGTAAATTATTCATTAACAAGTAAAAAAGTCTAAGGAGCCGAACATTAAATACCCCTATTTCAAACATTTTCGATAGAAGGTTCAGTTAGATATAATGAGTTAAACTTATTTAGATATATGAGAGCGGCATCACGCCCACTTTTCAAAATTCAATAATAATGTTACTTCTTTTCAATGTTTTGCCTTTATGTGGCAACCACAGTAATCGTCCCGAGTTGGTACACATTGATCGAACTGTTACCGAGATACACATATGTGATCATAACTGGGCGGGGTCGCGCCCATTTTCCAACATTTTATTATAAGCGTATTTTTTGCTAAAGAAGTATTGCAAACATCAATCTTGAATAAATTAGCTCCAGTATTTACTGATTTATCGAAGCTTTCGTATTTCTCTAAATTACCGTTATATGGGATATGGGCATGGTTATTATCCGATTTTTTTATAATTTTCAGCCGTTTGGTATGTTTTGTGAAGGCCAACC